GATGTGAAACATGAAACGAATAAAATCAAAATTTAAACATAAGTATTGAATAAAATAAATAATTCATACGTTCAGTTAACCGTTTTCTTGCTGTAAACAGAGAGATTGTTATCAAGATGGAATTAATGTTAAGAAGGATCCAAAAAACCTTTATATTAAAATATTGCCTGTGCGGCAACACCAGCCAAATAAAGAGCTTTATTTTCATAATCCCTAAAATTATCAATCATATTGCATAACCGAATACTGCATGATCAGGCCTTATAAATATGTTAACCATGAAAATTATTTACAATTGTTATATGTTGGTTTTAGTGTAAAGAACAAAATGTATATTATTTCAGTACATGAACAATTTTAGGAAACTATATTTCAATGCAATGTAATGCTATACTGATAAACAGGTGGAATCGTCGATGTTACACGAAATTGTACACAATTGAAAGGTTTTTATATTGTTTTACAATACTTTTTTATAAAGCTGAAGGGAGTAACTTATCTATTGTATAAAATGTGTATACATGGGTCATAGGCAGAAGTTTATCTGATTGGCTAATATATTCAATTTAATTTTACATTATTTATACAGTTTAGAGCACTTTTTAAAAAAACGAAAACTGGGCTGCCAAAAATAATTTCTGTAGCCGAAATAATTTCGACTAGGGATGGGTAAAAAGTCATGTCATTGGCTAGTTAAGTACTAGTTTACCCTATACATGTGTACTTAAATTTGGTTCGATTTACGGCATTTTTTATATTTTCTGCGCCTCTTCAATATGCCTAAATGCAGAAAATAAACTTATAATTTATTGCAGGCCCAACTCCTTTTGGCATTCAAATTCTTATAACTAGTCGGTCATCAAATGCTCATAGATCAAACAAGTTATACATACTTTCAAATTAATGTGCGTATATATGTCGTATCTCGAGTTGTGTAGAATTAAAATTTGACTTAGAGATGCGTCAAATCAGTTTATCCTTTATGCGTCAAATCAGTTTATCATTTATGTGTTAAATCAGTTTGTCATTTATGCGTCATACTAAAATACATATACATAATATATATCATAGTACAGTCTTCCTCCTCTATAATCACCTCCTATACAATCACAACTTCTATATAATCACACTAATTTTTAATACAATTTTTTTATTTAATAAAATACTTCTGTATAATCACAATTTGCCTATAATCACTATCACATAAGTACAGTATAAATAAAAAAAAATATATATATATTATCCTTCTGTATAATCACATTAAGACAAATAATAAATACCGTGTCATTGTGAACTAATGCCCAGTGTGTTATTTTGAGACACATTTGTCCAAAGAGGTAAGATTTAACTTTGGTAATGATTTTTAAAAAATAAAATTATTGTTTTTATTCATTAAAATTAAATCTTAGTTCTTTGGGAAAATGTGTCTCAAAATAACACCCTAAAGACATTATTTCATAACAATATAGTAACACTTGTAATTAAATTTTTAGTGCAAACTTATCAGTCAATTTTCTAAACATGATTTTTCACCAATAAGTTTTACAAAGTTAGTACTATTAATTAATTAGCAAATTAGAAGCTCTAAATAAGGCTAATTATTTTTTGTGTAACATTTATTTATTTTTAAAATAAATAAATATTGCAGAAAATTATTGGCCCTGTTTCAAGATACATATATATGTAAGTGCATTGTGAAGGACAGATTTAGGTCATAAAACAAAATACAATAAAAACATAAAGTATAATTAAGGCTATTTAAAAGAAGTTGTAAATCTTACTGTTACTAGGTTCTTCAGAGTATGGTTAGGTTAGTCTTTTTAATAATGAGGTTCACTTCTTTCTCCTTCAAGTTACATGAAATGGGTGGGTTTATACATATCAGGATCACAGCAAAGCTTTGCTACTAAGTTTAAAATCCCATAAGCAATGACTATTTAGAATGTTAGGGAATCTGTAACTAAAGATAAGTAATTTATACTTAATCACATGACTATAACTTTAGTTCCCATCACTTGAATGCCAAGAGTGTCTAGCTATTGTTTTTAATGAAGCTTTGCATCAAGCCAAAACTGAATTGGCATTTATTAGATGCCTTCTTTTGTGTTGATTAATATGTATTTGAAGTTCTGAGTCATATAGTTTTGGGTCATGTTTTTTAGGACATGTTTCCCATTACAACATACATAGCAGGTAGTGAAAGTGTTGCCTAGCTCTAAAATAATACAGAATAACTTGAAATACTACTAAACTACTATCGAACAAGACCTAAAATCCCAAATTGGTAGCCTTTAATCAAGGTGTAATTAAATTTGGTTTAAATTTGGAGACTTTGGATCTTGTGGGTCTGTCACAAGAATTTGGGATAAGTATCTAAGTATCTCTTTTTCTTTACTTTATGCTACACTATACTAATTTAATACTAATATTTTTGCTATAATTTCTCTTGGTTTTCAAGTATACCACTTATTTCTAGTCACATGTCTTATTTCAGTATCAAGTAATGCTGAAATCAAGAAATCAAATAATTTATATATTTTGTAACAATGAAATTGATTACGAATTTAATCATTATTAGTTTTTATATAAAAGAAAGTTCAATTACTAATATGATCTTCCTTTTTTTCTCTCAACTAATTACAGTAACAGTTTGACAAAGTCACAGAGACATGAAAATACAGGTATTATAAATGGAACTTGTAATATAAAAGTGTTTTAACACTGCTTAAATACTTCTACTATATTATTTTCTAAGTTTTGATACCAAGAGTTGTGTTTATTTGAAGGAAATTTATTGCCATTTTTATACATTATTTTTTATATAGCATGATTACAGAAATAACAGTAATTTTCTATTATGTTAACTATCCTTTTGTTTTTCTATATTACTCTCTATTACTATTATTTACTTAATCATGTGGATGTTTTGTATAGTTGTGATTTATAACTATCCTTATAACTATCCTTATAACTATCCTTATAACTTACAAAAATTTTTATGTTGTCCATGATTTTCATAATTTCTATAATCCAAGAATTATTAAAACTGTACTACCTTAAGACTGCAGACACAACTGGAGGGTGCAATTTACCTTTTCACAATGTACATACTGTACATACATTGTGAGAGTGAAAACTGATAAGGATTGGCACCAAGATAACTTGGGTCATTTTGACCAATCGAATATATTTGATGAATCTGCCAGATCTGCTATATATGTCAAATACGACAGAAATGGCTAACATACAACAAATATTCTACTTATAATATAGAATAGATATAGTGGAAATAGTGGAAATGATAGAAAAGTGCAGAGTAAGATTAGTAACATATAAAATATATTTAAACACCAAAATTCCACTGTTAATAACAGATCAAAAACTACAAAATAAATAATAGTAGTTCTCTAAGTGCTCTTTTATATATTCAACATGTTCATGTTTCACTATATCATATTTGACTTGTCTCTGTGATTTATTTTAAACCTGTTATCATTAATTCATTCAAAGTAAAAGAGAAAGATCATATTAGTAATCAACTTTCTTTTTATATAAACATTGTTGCCAAATACTTATATTATTATACTTCATGATTTAGCATTCCTCGATGCTGAAATAAGTCATATGGTCTGAAATTAGAAAACCAAAAGTCAATTAGAACTCAGGCACATCTGAATAGTAGCAGAGATATTGGATATTAGTAAATAAAGTTAACAGTACAAAAAAGCAATAGTGGTAATATACAATTCAAGTACCTAGTGCTAGAATCTCTTAAGTTGTAACTGCTGCAATACATGTAGAGTACCATATTACTTGAACCAAATTAACCCAAGCCTACTGAATAGAATATAGAGAAATATTTCTGACTCTTTACAGTTAGAGCCTCATATCAAGCCTCCAGATTAAAGAGTTAAATTAGTTTCATTATTGAACCAAATCTCATTATAACAACATACATATGTATATCTTTTAATTTTTGTTACAGAAAAAATATCAGCTTATTAATGTGCAGCCAATTGATATTTATATACAACTAGAGAACTATCAAGAAATTAGTAAGAAAATTATGAAATGAAACACTTAAAGAGGGATAAGTAGAGTGATACATAGAATAGAAAAAAATTAGCAAAAGTAAGTTTCTTATTGTTAATCATAATTTAACTTAAATAAAATATTCACTTTTTCTTAAATTTAATATGTTCCTAGTAGTGTAATATATGAACCTTCATTAAAATTTTCTGAATCTAGAAATAGACAAGATAGTACTGTATTAATAATTTTACTTTTAACTATACCATATTCTAATAAACTTATGCATATACTTATCTAAACCCTTATGCTGTTATCGTTATAATGTACATATCTATTTTCATATGAGCTAATATATACACAAACTGAGAATGCACACAAAATGAAGCTTTGAAATCTAGAACAAATAGTAAAATGTTAGTATTATCTAAAAAAAAAAAGTATAAAAGATTTTTTTTCTTTAACTTAACTTATATTTTATTCAATTTTAACTCCATTACAAATTTTGTATAAGAATTCTACCTTTATACATAAGTAATTGAAGTTTTATGTCTTTAATAGTGCATTTATTGTTTCTCTATAGTTCTGTGTCAGAGATATTGTAAGTTTGACCAAGGACCCAAGACCCACTAGTAGCAAGATAAAATCATTATATTAAAGAAATTCTTAGATGGCAATTCTATCTATGATTAAGGTTGAATCCAACAATAATGTTTAAAATAATCATTATTTTATTTTAAAGTCATAAACCACACATTTTATGATTTTTATATGAGCATATATATATTTAATGCATATATTTATTTTAAATACACACTTATTTCAAGCATATTTTATTGTATACAATTTAAAATAATTATCTAACTTCAAAACAATAATTACATAAACTATTGTTTAATAATTGATCCTATAATAAACCCAAGAATTTATAATAAAAAATAACTGTTCTAAATATTTGATCATCACACAAGTTAATTTTCATAATTATCAGAACTGTTATAGTTGTCAGGAAAATCAGAAAAATTATTGTCATCAGAAAAATCATCATTGCAAGGAAAATCATTGTCAAGAAAGTCATTGTCAAGAAAGTTATTATCAGGAAAGTCATCGCTAAGAAAGTCATAGTCATCACCAGAGAACCTATTGTTATAAGAAAAATCCATTTCATTAAGAGAATATTTAACATTAAGTGGCATGGTTTGGCTGTCTATTTTAAAAAAATCTGTAATAGATTTCTGCTTTATAGACTCAGTAATTTTTTATTTCATTAATGGTATGTATTTTTGAAATACTGTTAAGTCATTGATATTGGAAAAAAAATTATTATCCATTTGTTCAGCAAATAAAATAAAAGTATTTAACCTGTTTAATGCTTCATAAGCAGAAATTTTTGGTGGCTCATCATCTAAATCATCCGGATCATCTTGCTGACATTCTAATTACTTTATGAATACAGTTTCAATAATTTGGTTATCATCAAGTATTTCCTTCATAGAAATATAAGTATTATTAATTTCTTGATAAGATTTTATTTTTTGTGAAACTGTTGGATTAGTAAGATCAATTACTAATTCACTTATTTCACTTTCTTCATATTCAATTGCTTCTAAATATGTATTTTGTGCAAGTTCAATATCATCATTCGACAATGATAACAAAATGCCTGTTTTTGTCTAACAATTTACTATTGTCAATTTATTCACTTTATTCTATGAAGTTGCTACATAATCAATAGCTTCCTTAATAGTTAATTTATTGCTGACAAAAAAAAAAAAAAAAAAAAATTCAGTATTTAATTTTGAGACGAATCTATTTGCTACTGGTGGTTATGGTTCTAAGCCAATCAGAGTACATAATTAAAAAATCTAAAAAAAAATTTCAAATCAAGACAATTCAAAATTATGCCTATGAAATTAGCTTTTGTACAGAGTTGGATAAATTTTGTAAGTTATATTTAACTTACATAATAATATATAATTTTGTAAATTTACACTAAGGTACTTATTGTAACTTATATGTAACATATATCAAAAATTTAAAACTTACACAACATATCCAACCCTACTTTTGTATTTTAACAAAAAATATTTTTTATATAATTTTCCTATATATTGTGATCTTTTCAACTCTAAAAATAACTTTAAGTAAAATCTGTGTACTGTCACTGCTAGTAACAAATAGATTATTTTTTAATTTTAAATATGCAGTAAAATTTACTCAGGATCTCGAATATCTAGTCTTCTGTCAAACTGATCCAGAATATGTTGAATATATTTTTTTTGATATTTTGCCTTGAAGTATTTAATAATTCTCACATCCATAGGTTGAAGATGTGAAGTAGTTAAAATGGGCAAAAATTTAACTTTTGTTTTTTTTTTTTTTTTTTTTTTTTTTTTTTTTTTTTA